CCTGTGATCACTTACTTGTTATGTCTTTTAGTCTGAAGTCTCCGAGTCACTCTCTGCAGGGACGTCAGTGAGTAGGGCCACCCGGAGCGTTCTGCGCCTTGTTATGCCGTGGACCAAGCACTTAAAAGTACTTTTAAAACAGGACTCTCCTCTAATGTGGATTTCCAACCTCGTATTACAGAGGTTGTTGGTTTTATTTTATGATACAAAGATTAATAAATCACATTACAATCGGCGAAACTGGCGATACTATGTGTGAAATAAATGGATAGTTTAGACTCCTACCGGAGGTAAACCTCTAGAGCAGGGGTATTCAATTAAAATTCCAAAAGGTCCAGATTGAGAAAATGTCCTCAGGCAAAGGTCCGGAACATTACAATAATATCTAACTTGCACTATTTAGTGATATATATATATATATATATATATATATATATGTCAAATCAAATAAAGAAATAACATTTGGTTCACGAGATGCAGGTAGCATGTTTTATACTTAATGTGAGTATATTTCATTCTTTGTTGGCATCTTATTCTGAAAACCGGATGTTCGTCTGAAGAAACCGGATGTTGTCTCACGTTAATGTTTCCGCTAACTTTCAAAGTCCTTCTCTCGCTCCCGATCTGTGCTGTTTAAATGCGTTTACCGTGAATTTCAGCATATAGGATAGTTTAGACTCCTACCGGAGGAAAAATACCTCTAGAGAGTCGTGTTAGAATACCTAGCAAAGGAATTCCTTCACAGTATTATGTTGAAATTAAGATACTTCCTACCGGAGGTAAACCTCTAGAGAAGTGTATAGAGGGGTGAAACACACTGCAATAGGAAAACCTATTGCAGTGTGGAGTCCAAAGCTTATGCAAGAGAGCAAAAGTTGAACCGAAGACAGAGCGAAATATCACTGCTTATATCCTGTCCTCCGCTGAAAGCGGAAGTAGGAGGTGCCTGCCTCTAGCCCGTGGCCGCGGAAGCGGGGACGCGCTCTGCTGAGTATGAAAGCAGAAAGGTGGGGGCTCACCATATATGGGTAGCCAGCGTTTCCTGCTTCCAGCAGCTCGCTCTGCTGTCGAGGGGCAGCAGAGGTTTGGGTTGTCTGTGTTTTCATATCCTGACCTGCGCAGCCGTCAACAGTTACATGCATACAGTCTCTTCCAATGTAGGTTTACTTAGTTTTTAGGTTTACTTACGCAGCAAAAGTACTTGGTTAGGTTTATGAAAAATAAGCATGTTTGTCACATAACTGGTGTAAGTTCAGTTACGCAACAAAACAAAGGTAAAATGAGTCAATGTTAACTTGGTTTCAGGGACAGCGGTCTCCTTGGTTAAGTCCTGTCCACCCTGCCCGTGTCTTATTGTCGTGGATGGGTTTACGTTGGAGTTAGTTGAAAGCCCGCAGTGTATCTCATACAGACGCTTAAGGGTGCCTCGGAATCAAAGGCCTCAGCCACCAATCCATCCAGCATGGATAATGCCAGATCACATCACCAGAACTGTCCAATGAATGAGTTACCTTTCGGTCCATGTTTAAACCTCTTCTTTTGTTAATAAAATCAGATTTGTAGTCAGCAACTATACAGGTTGTTCATTTTTTTCACATCACTGTTCAGGGGCATGTTATAGCGTTCAGTGTATAATGGTGTGACGCTACAGTGATGATTTAGTGCATTAGCGTTGAGATAGACTGATGACCTCTCCAGGTGAATCCTTCCTCCTGCCCAATGCATGCTGGTAGAGACTCCAGTACCCCAGATCACAGCCAATCAAAACAGCTCCGGTCCTCCCTTCATAAGCAGGGGGCTAACCATCATGATGTGTGATGTGTCATAGTTTCCATTGTCAGGGCCAGGGAGGATAAATAATGAATAAAGAAATAATTACATTTTTAGTTGTATGATATATTAAATCTAATTGAAACTGTTGTTTTCTGATTAAATGATCTCAATGACTTTACCACATAATGACAACTTGTAGAGGGGAAGGAAATTAGTGGCACAAATAAGATAAGACAAGATAATTATACAACAATTAGCCGTCAGTTGTCATCCAGCAGAAGTCTAATCCGCTGGTAAAAATGAACACTCTGGACAGCGACCATGTCTTTACCCTTTACCATTACTTTGTCACCATGCTTGCACATTTTCTGTTTGGAAAACTCATACCAGTTCTGACAAAAATGAACTGACATGTTTGAGTTCACTACTTCCACACATTACATGCATTAGGTGTTTTTTTTTTTTTGTCAAAATATACTTCCAACGTAGGTTTACATAGTTTAATGTTTACTTATGCAACGAAAGTATTTGGTTAGGTCTCGGAAAAGATTGTGGTTTGGGTTAAAATAAGCATGTTAGTAACGCAAAACAATCATGTTTTTTTAAAACAAATATTGTTACGTAAGATAAGTATGTTGAGCGCTAACATTTGCTTAACTAAGTTCTTTGGTCTATACAATTTCAGACAATGTTGACAAATGGCAATCGGTGTCCCAACGCCCAGGATGACGTCCTCAAATGTCTGTTTTTACCACCAGTCAATGATTGTCATTTTTATGTCATAGAGGAGTAAAAAATATTCAGAAAATGTTCACATTTAGGAAGTTCAAATCTTAGGATTTTTAATTATTTTAAAAAATGCTTAAAAATACAAAAAACGACTTATCATAGTTAAATGTCAAAACATCTTTAAGATTGGCTTGACTTTTTATGTTGGAGCTAACTAGCTGTTGACCTGCTGTTGAGTTTATGGTTAGTTGGTGGATCAGGGCCTTAGAAATTGGTATTTGCATCCACAGTTTATCTGTCTGCGTCTGAAATGTGTGCATCTAAGTGTGTAAGTTATATGAAGAAAGTATTTACTGTCTGAAGGTGTAAATGAAACTTGGTATCCATTTATCTTATTCATCGTGTTTTGACGTATGCGGAAATGTCTTTCAATGTGAGAGTGAGTGTGTGAAAGTCTGATGATTTTAAAAGGTCATGATATGGCATGGTATGATTCCACTAGTTTCCCTTAATTACCAAATTCATCTTTCGCTTGGCTGGACATTCTACACACGCAGATGAGGGTTTATGTGTGTGTGTGTGTTTGTGGTGTGAGTCATGAGGCTGAATGTGCTATTACATTAGTGTAGATGAGGGGAGGATGTCCGCTGTTGCTCCTGGCTCTCTTTTGTTACCTTACTCCCCTCTGATCTATGGAGTGCCTCAGGGCTCTGTTCTTGGAACCCTTCTGCAAATTTCTTTCGTCAAATTACATTAGCATATTAACGGTAGCCTGAAACACGTCCCACAAGACAGAAAGATATCTGCTGCATCCTATCATTCACTCGTATGGGTCTACTGATGCTCCAATTATGTGTTTATTACTGCACTCCTACATTGTTGGACCCATGATGGACAAAACAAAAAGAATGATCAAAATCAATGCAGCAGAACCAGAGGTGTCATCTTTTTTTTATCCACTCACTGTTCTTCCTTGTCAAAACCTTGTGCCTACATTACCTACAATGGAACTAAACTGCCTACAGTTATTCGTTATAATCCTCAATTTATTACCTCAGTAAACATTGTAAACATGAGTTTATGGTCTCAATCTCTAGTTTCAAGTCTTCTTCAATACAGCATGATGTTCATTTAGTAAATGATGGTCCATTTAGAGTCAAACTGTCACGGGAGTTCACGGTTCGGACCCAATAGCAAGACCACAGGAGACAGAGTACGGTGAAACAGACTTTATTTAGCCAGAGTAAGGAAGACAGGAAGGTGTGGAGCCCGTGGTCCGACACCAGAGAGTAGGCAGATCGACGGTGTGAGTCCCGTGGCTCGACACCGGAGGGCTGGTAGCTTGACGGCGTGATGTCCCGTGGCTCGACACCGGAGAGCTGGCAGCTTGACGACGTGTGTAGTCCGTTAACATAACAGAGGGCAGAGCGGCGGTGTGTAGTCCGTTAACACCACGGAGGGCAGAGCAGCGGTGTGTAGTCCGTTACCACCACGGAGGGCAGAGCGGCGGTGTGTAGTCCGTTAACACCACGGAGGGCAGAGCGGCGGTGTGTAGTCCGTTAACACAAAGGAGGGCACGGGGGGACCCGAGTCTGGTGTGTCAGCCTGCAGGAGGTAATCGGCTGGAGTGGCTGCAGCTGTGTGGCCATGGGAGGTGTCTGGTCTGACAGGGATCCTGACACAAACAGACCATGAAGCAGAGTATGCTTTAGGGCGGGGCTACACAGTGATTGACAGGTCGCTACTCCAGCGTTGTCCGGTCTGTTCTGTTTTCGTCTTCGAACTTTAACCCTTTCAAGTCACTTCTGGTTACTAAAAACAAAGAAGGCTTCAAAAACGACAGTCCAAAACCCAATGGATGACATCACGCTGACTACGTCCACTTCTTATACACAGCCTATCGTTGATAGGCACTCCAGATACCCAAATGTGTGTGTACAAGCACTGAGAAAGTGAGTTTTTTTAATGACATCATATACACAGGCCACCATTCACATTTCGATAAATGCCAATGGGCAATTAAGAGTGGACAGTTACCCTAACATGCATGTTTCTGGCCTCTGGGAGGAAACACAAACCCGCAGACATGGAGGAGGACTCTCTTTGACCTTCTCCAAACTGTGGTTGCGAAGAGATACATGACACAGAGCAGCATAAGATATTTTTACGAGTATGCTACAACTCGTATCAGCTGTGTGAAGTTTTCTTTTTGCTGTTGGATCAATTGTGAGTAATTCATGTGTGTTGATGCTGCCGCTTTGTGTGGATCAGAGTGGATGCAGAGAGACTGAGCGACACTGTGATGCCAAATGGACAGACGTAGCTCGGAACCCCGGATCTTTAGGCAGCCTTGAGTTCGTACACATTGCTGGATTTCATGTGGATTCGCTCACCCCACGTCCTCTCCGGATAGCCATTATTGAAGTCGGTGTCAACAGAGGAGGAGCACTGACGTCCCTCCCCTCCCTCTCCTGTTTGTCTGTGTCTCTCCCTCACAGAGGCTAATGTTTGCTTGGTAGTATCCAAGGGTTACGTCTCTGGCCTCTTGCGGCTTTACGAGGACTGGCACGCCAAGGCAACTCAACATGCCGCCATGGCGATCTGCCACTCGCTGCTGCGCTGCCTCCATAAGGTCACTCACAGTAATGCCGGCAAACAGGCCTTCGTATCCCAGGGAGGCATCCGACTGCTGTACGTAACGACACAGGTAAGTTTCAAATCATGCCAATAATCCATTTTTGTTCTCTTTCCTGCTGTTGGGATAGACTGTGGTTCAGATTTTCTTTCTTATACCCTGACACAAACATTCAGTCTCCCCACCGGGAACAGTACCTTTGCTTTTGCTCATCTGTCTTGCCTTTCTTTCCCCTCTTCTTTCTGTCTTTTTGTAAAAAGTACTGTACTGTATGTATGCTGTCTTAACATTGCAGTGGCTAGTATTATTGGCAGTCCCCCTTTCTATTCATGGAGGTTTTCCTCTTCCTTAGGGTCAGTTTTTTCCAGCCCCCAAAGAAAATCTTTTCCTCCACACTGTCAACAGAAAGTCATACTGTGAACAGCTGCTCTGAGGTCTTCTCTGTTTCATTTGTCTCCTGATGTCAAAGGTACGACCCAGGACCTGAGTCAGGCCGGGTCCGAATAATATTCAGTCTAAATGGTTTGGGTAGTGTCCCACGGTTCATGCTTTAACAAACGTGAACACCTCAACAAACGTTTAACAAACGTGAACACCTCAAATTCAGCAGTGGCAGCCTGCCAGCCAAGGCACCAAATACGGATGCTTGGTCAGTGGCCCGCGGCGCCCATGATACCGACGCAAGAGGCACCCGTTAGCGTCTCTATGAGATGTACCTGGCTTTCAAATAGTGGTGTAACAGACCACTGTCGATCCGTGATCCGTATGGATCCCCCCTCACGTTTCGGCAAGCATGTGAACTGCAGATTAATTACACAGTTTAACCATAACGATTTCCAGTAAAACTTTATTTCACACTGTGATGTTTATCGCCAATATTCAGTAAAATATATGCGATCAGGACATCGGCATTTATGCTTTTCTAGTGGCCGATCTCTGATCATGTCACATTGTAAAGAAAACAATCCATATTATAATTGAAAGGAGAGATAGTAATTGTGGCAGAATAGCTAATGTCCAACGAACGAAGGTTCTGTTTGGTTACATTATGATGCGTTCAAGCTGTTCAGTGAAAATTAGTATTGGGTTAAGGTAAATTAAAACCTATCATGATGTGTTCACATCTCGTAAAATATAGTGTTGGTGAGAAAGTCACTACGTCATTTCTCATGGTTCACAAACCAATAGATGACGTCACGATGATGACGTCCACTTCTTATATACAGTCTATGGTTTCACCCTCTCCTCTTGTCAATAAACCTGTTGGCAACCACACAACGGTCTGAAAAGTCAACATTGGCTTACTTTAGGTTGTGTACGTAAGTTAAGTCACCTTAAGTCATGTTTTTGCATATCACATGCACATACTTGCATAATGATATCTCTGTTAGTGCTCGTATAATGAGTTGACATTTGTGACAGGCATAATAGAGGAGAGCTGGGTTTCTTTAACCAACGAGTGAAGCAAACAGTTATGTGTGCTATCCATTCAGTGCACTTTTACCTAAAGATAATGGGGAGCTTACTGCTCCTCAAATAGAGTTAATAGGCACTGAATGAAGGACTTCTGTCCTTAATAAAGTGATGGGTTGGTTCTGAAATAAAAAGCCCTTTTTTCGTTAGAGGTTGAAATGGGCAAGGTTTAGTCTCTTCCCTCAGTATGAGAAACCTGATGCGACATACACTTCGATCTTTACACTGGTCAGAAAGTCAGACTATTTCCTCCCTTGCTGACTCACAACAGGTTTTATTTATAAACATTCTCCCACAGTGCAACACATGAATAAAGCATAACGGGTGGTTAGATCTCGTAGCACAAATGCTTGGAAATAGATTTGATGGACGTCTTTCGGCACATTGTCCTTCCTGTTACAGCCCATTGATCTTCTATACATTCTGTTAACTGAGTTTGACTCTCTGCAGACATGTTTGCTAAGTAAAGGCCTGGAGTCTCTGGTGGAGCCCTCTGTGCAGCTGATGAGAAAGTGTCTTCCTAAAACACCTCTTCCACTGACATCAGACCGGTCTGCATACACCTTCCTCATGCCCGGAAGACCGCATGCTGTCCCTGATATAGATGTGGAACCAGGTATTAGTATTCCCTTCACATCAACATTCAGCAGACGCACCTTTGATAGCACTTACTGACTTGGTGGATGATAAATATAACATACTGTACTTTTAATTTTGGGACATTTTAAGGTAAGCTGGTCACTATTGGAACCAGGCAAGCTGACTGATCACATTGGAACTGACAGTTACTTAGAAATAATGTCTATTGTAAAAGTCTATTGTGTAAAAAGTTTTCGAAAGTTTTAAAATTCAAAAAGGTGCTAAACTACAAATTTGTAGCATTGATTGAGGGATTGCCTCAACACAGCTCTCAACATGGTGACGGCCGAGTCTGCGGCTAGCAGCTAACGTTGCTAACAGCACAAAAAGTGCAAACAAACGACAACCGTGCTGATAGAGGTAATAGTTAACCTGGGGGTAGAAACCAGAGGGTGGGTGCTATGTTTCTGCACTGTGGGGCACGCTCACAGGGACTCAAATGCACGTGCGGCCAAACCTGCTACAAAGTGTGACTTAATCCTCTGCTCAAGTTGCCATTACTCTGCTATATCTCTACGTTGGAAATATTGGTTTGATGTTTGTTTAATGCTCTGGATTTCAAATTTAGCACCTACAATGAAGTGCATTGCATTTCTTAGCCTGCTTTATTGTTTGGTTCAGCATTTGTATTTTTAATGTACTGTTAAATGTATTTTGGATGAAGTGTAGTCCAACATTTGTATTTGTGTTTGTCTTCGAGTCAGTTTAAAATCATTTTCATGAATCGATTGTTATGTAAATTTACAGATGTGAAGTCTTTAAAACTGTGTGAGTATGACATTGTTTTAATGTTTGGGTATCGTCCGTTTCCTCCCAATCCGAGCAGCGACGAGTTCCCTACAAAGTTTCACAGAGTTCACTTTATTGAATGTCGTGAGTGGACTTCCAAACAAACACTGACTCTGGCTGCTCTGTTTTCCCTGTTGTATCCAGATGAGAACAGTGAGGAGAGTGATGATGAAGAGGCTGAAGACAACAAAGATGCAGACTTTGTAAGTGTGTGTAGCTCCTGTGTGGCCATGTGTTTGGAGTTTGTGCTTTCACTTTCAGTAACCAAAGTCTGTTGTGAGGGCCAGAGTTGCTGTAGACACTGGAGGAAAACAATACTGTTATTTTACTCATTTAAAAGAAGAAAGGAGGTCAGGGTGGACAGGTGAGTCTAAAAACATCGGACTTTTACCCAAGAGGCCGTGGATTCTGTCCTGTGTGAAACCCAGAAATCATCGTTGACTTATTTGTCACATAAGTTCCAAAGTTAAAGCTACTGCGAAAAATTTCGTACCGCTCGTCAATGTCGCACTTTGTCCCAGGCAGCCAATCAAATCCAGCAAGAGGCGGGCTTCACTTCTTAACCACTGTGAGGGAGAGTGATGGGAAAACCAAATTATACGGGATGATAAAAAAAACGAGTAAGGCCGGTGAGTACCAGAGAGGAGAGGAATGGTGGTAAGGCAGGGATGCAAGAGGGAGAGAAAGATGCAAAAACAGGACGGGATAGAGGAGGATAGTGAAAGGAAAAATAGGGGTGTAGGTGGCCTCAGTATGGAGAGAGTGTCTCGGGAGAAAGGAAGGGAGACGCGCTGTGGGGGGCAGCGGATGAAAGAAGAGGTATGGCAGATGGGAAAAAAGCCAAGAGAACAGAGGAGGATTTAAAATGAGGAAGCAGAATCTGAGGAGGCTGGAGGAGGGGGGGGGGGGACACTACAAAAGCCGAGGTGGAGAGATAAATGGAAGCGGGAACGATGAGAGAAGTGGAGCAGAGTGAGGCACAAGAGAGATGGATGTAACAATGGGGGAAGAGAAAGGGGAAACAAATCAGAGGAGGTCTAAGCGGGAACTAGTCAGAGAAAAAAGCAGGAGAGCAGGATGATATTATATGTCGGGGAAAAAGCCTGCAACCTTTGATAAAACGTACTATTATCAAACATAAGCACCTGCATGAATAGTGTGGTTCCATGTAGATCCAGCAAATCAAATGTATCCTGCCGTGTGTTATACTGCCCTACACGGTTGGAGTAGTGAGGGTTTTAAAGACAAACTAAGACAGATAGAAAGGTTGCAATGTTTCCAGGTCTGTTTAGAGTCACAGGGTTGTATTTCAAACTCTATTAACAACGAGAAAAACACAGGAGGCGTAGTCAGAAAATATTATGACGGTGTGATTTACTGTACCAGCCTCCCAAGGAGCAGACAGTGAGAATATTTACAACAAAGAAAGGTGAAAAGAATGTAAGTAGAAGAAAAACAAAATACTGTACATAAAAGATTGACAAAATATTACGGTGACGCTTTGTAATAAAAGCATTAGTTAAGTATGAGTAAACACTTAAAGCATTGTTCCTACATTAACACTCATTAATATGCAATTCATGAACACAGTTATGAATGCTTTTATTCTTGATTAATAAACTATATTCTATAATCTATAATGTGTTTCATGATTGTGTTTTCATACTTTATAAATGATGGATTCCCCCATTGTAAATTAAGTTTTATATATATTACAAACCAATTATTCAGGAGTCGTCAATGATTAATAGGAGCATTTATAAAAGTAAATGATTAACAAATCATTTAGATGCACATATGCATGCATTTATACATATAATGATTTAAATATGCACTAATGTTACTGTGTTAGATGTTTTATAAACACATTAATACTGCAATTCATGATTGATTCAGGTAGTTATAGTTGTTAGTTAAGTATTTTGTGTGACCTCATCTAAAGTGAGGACTATGCCTTACAAAGCGTTTACAAATGACATTGAAAGGCCAGCCACTGACCAAACTACACTCTAGCAGAGAGACAATCCAATGGTAACACGGCTACTGAAGCCATTTAATACACTGAAGAACTGCTCAGCAGTCGATGGCTTTGCAGAGGTGGTAAAACTCTACTGATTTACTGGTACCCGTGAATCAGAATCAGAGACCGTTTATTGCCATGGTATGTTGCACATACAAGGAATTTGACGTGACGGGTGGTCCATAACAATAACAATCAACACAGTGCAAGAAATAGAAACATATTAAAATGTACGATAGAATATGAAAGAATACAAAATAAAGTGCGCAACAAACAGATAACAGTACTATAAACAAGTATGATGAAGTGTAATGTCAAGTGTCGAGTGTGTTTAAATGAAGAAACAGAGAAGGGATGTGCAGGGGAGTGACCGGTAGGAAATTGTCCTGGGGATGTCAGAGTCAGTGGGGGTCCCGGGCTTTGTTGATGAGCCCAACTGCCGATGGGAAGAAACTGTTCATGTGGCGTGAGGTCTTGGTCCTGATGGACTGCAGCCTCCTGCCAGAGGGAAGGGGCACGAACAGTTTATGTCCAGGGTGAGAGGGGTCGGCTACAATCTTTCTTGCTTGCTTCAGGGTCCTTGAAGCGAACAAGTCTTACATAAAAGCTGTAGTAAAGAAACTTTCACCAAATGTTCCCCACACAGGTTCAGTTTTACGATCTCCATCCAGACGAGCGTTCCAACGCATATCACATGACCAGGGCTGATAACGCCCGCCGGACACTTTAATTGACGCAAAGCGGTCGAATAATAGCTTCCCAATAGCTTCCCTTTAGTGCATGCAGGCGGTGGTAGAGTTAAACTGTGTGACAGATGCATAGACAACAAGGCCAGCAGTTTTTTGCGGGAAAAGGGTCATGTGATAGGGGCGTGACGAATCAGGAAAGGACACGTCGTGACTGATGAGACCCGATCAAGGAAAGCTAGTCTGGGCGACTGAGTCATCGTTTTCAAAGGTCTCTGGAGATTTCTAACGAGAATGGCTTCAGCTGCGTTTTCCAAATGTCTCTGTTTTAGGGGTTCCAAAACGCCGAGGCAGTGTGGAGGCTAGGAGTCAACACAGCAAATGTTATACATTTTAAAACAAACTTTATTGGTGTGGATGTAGCCTGTATTTGCATGCCACTGTACAACCAAACTATGACAACAGGCATTAAATTATTCTACATTAAAATAATACATTTTCCAAACACATGGGACATACAGTTAAAATTACCCATGACCCACACGTTGCACAAGGTTTTTTCGAACTGGCCAGTACTTCTCTGCGGAATCCCCATCTACTGTACAGTGTGAGGTGCTAGATATGGTTGGTCAACACAGGTTAGAAGCATCCGCAAAGTGGCACCAAACCTGGCAACCCTCCCTGTGAGGACAGAACTCAAAAAAGCCAGGAAGATACACACAAATTGGTTGTTCAAAGACAAGTGAGCTTTCTTGTGATTGGTTCACATGTTATATTAAGACAATATTAAAACATAAGAACATTGTAATGTTGTCTGTGCCTTTGCTGGTAATGTGAGTGCTTTTGTTCAATATTGAGTCATGTATAATCAACATGTCACTACTGTAATTAGGCAGACTTCCAGAGTGACAATACCGGGGCGCCAACATGAGAGAGAGAGAGAGTGGAGGATGTGTGTGGAGTAATATGTTGTAGGAGCTTTGTATAACTGATAAGGCATTTACTGCTCAGTGGACGGAGACGGTTTACAGCACTCGGTGACTCAGTGACTGACTAACGCCGCGTTCCCAGTGTGGCAGAACGTGGTAGACAGGAAACGTCAGATAGTCTTTGTTTTCAACAGGAGACTGGCAATAACTATGGCAGCAGTGTTGCTAAGTGCCACCCACGACGCCCACGGATACAGCTTGTCAGAAAGAACGGTTTCGTTTGTTTTCCCCCATGAAGTAACATGGCGTATCAGCAAACTCTTTGTCCGAATGCTTATATTGTCACAGCTTCCAGAAAAGAAAAAAACAAATCTAAATGCAACTTCAGCTTGGTAAAAGTAATCAGGTTTGGCTTGACTCTTCAACTTAGTCTCCACTTTGACCGATGAGTGCTTATGTCAGGGGTTATGTTGAATCATTTCTTCTTCTTTACGTCATTTTTTTTTCTCATATCATGTGGACCTTGACCAACAACACAATAGAATGGAGGGGTGACCTTTTGCTCCCGCTTCAACGTTATCGGCCGACTGTATGGGCATCATCAGCCTCATAGATGGGTTTGAGGGGCCGTTCTCATCTATTAATAGGGTTGTTCACTGATACAAATAGAAGAAGACGAAGCTCACCACTAGGGGTTGATGTAATTCTGACGGGAGGAAAGGAGGAAGTCAGCTGATGCAATAGAAATAGTGAAAAAAGTCTGCGTAATGCGGAGGTCGGGGTGGATGCTGGGTCAAACAAACAGGACTTTTACCCGGTAGAACACCATTAGTTACCCTTGTGAAACCAACAGTCATCACTGACTTATTTTACCGCACCTTTGCTCCGTAATTTATGTACTTAACTAATGCCAAGTTATGTACGTAACATAGCAATTTTGCTTATTTTAACGCAAACCACAATCTTTTCCTAAACCTAACCAAGGCATTTCGTTGCCTAAACCAGTTTGTTTCAATTCACAACGTGAGTTTTTCTTTCCCTTTCACAATGTGGCAGCTGCATTTGGGCCCATCTGAAGCATTAACAGGCTATAATCCTGTCAAACCACTGTACCAAGTAGAACAACGAAATGTCTTCTTTTGCGAAACAGTTCGCTTGGATAACATTTAGATAACATAGGAGAGGGACTCTTTCAATATTATTTCTTAATATGAGACACTTGTCTAAGATAAAACTTACAGATTCAATGCAAGAGACTTTCAACGTCTGATTTCTAGTACTTTTTTATTTATTGGTTTATTTGATAAGGGACAGTGCACATTCATAAAAACATTTCTGTAAATGCACCAGAGTTAGCCAAAAGGCTATTTTTCATCTGTAGTCACAAGAGACAGATGTTAAAAAATAAACCTAAAAACAGAACATAAGATTAAATTTAAAAGGTTATACAATATTGACGCTTTACAATGCGTGCACAAACAACGAAAAAAGTGAGAATATTAATATACGTAGTACCATCATTCAGGAGACTCTTATACATTGTCAAGACATGCAACACAGAGGCTCTCAAAGTCAACACACACGAAGCAAATAAAAAATAGAAACATGCACTAAAGACAATATCATGCTGCAATTGTTAGACACTAAAAACATCCATGTCAGTGGCACAAAACATAAAAGCATGCAGAGTATGTGAAATACATAAATCAGTCAGACACAGCTAAACAACAATAAAAGACAAGCATGCAGGTAGATGAGGGTCGACCGGCAATTTCAAGACAGACAGACAGACAGACAGGTGCCAACAGACGGATCGAGGGAAAGTTCAACACGGACAGAGGTGCAGTTACATTCTAGTGCTGACAGAGTTAGGTACTAACTAACCATTTCTTTAATTGAGCTTTAAATGAACTGTGTGTGTAGTTCTCTAATGGTCACTGGGATGGAGTTCCATTCTAGTGCAGCTTGTACTGAAAATGCAGACTGACTTGAAAGCACTTTTCCTGAGTGGAATAATGCAATCCCCTCCTGCTGCACCGCTTGTGAGCCGATATCCAATTGTTCTTATGATAACAAATTGTTTGAGCGGAGGAGAGGTCAAGCCATGTATAATCTTGTATATGAGACAGACATTCACATATTTAATCATGTTCTCCCAACTAAACAAGTTATATTTTTTTAGTATAGGGCAATGATGAGAAAGAACAGATTTTTTATCAAGGATTTTGAGTGTTCGTTTATACAATGACTGTAGTGGTTTCAGAGTAGTGGTGCTAGCCTGTGACCAGGTTGTTAAACAGTAAGTGATATGGGAAACAACCATAGAAAGCATGTATGTCTTAGCTGCCTCTGTTGACATGTAGTTGTGTGAACCTGAAATTTGATAGATTAAATTTGACCTGGTTACAGACCTTTTTCACCTGAGATTTGACTGATAATTTGGAATCAAAAAGTACTCTGAGATACTTGTAGTCAGGTACAACCCGTAGCCTCTCCCCGATACAAAAACATCCGGCTCTACACTACCAGTTTGTTTTGGTAAAAAACACACTGTTTTGGATACGCTTAGTTGTAAACAGCATTGCTTTAACCATGCAGTTACATGAACCATGGAGTTAGTGAGTTCATTTGCAACCATGCAAGTAAATCACAGTGTCATCTGCATTGGATGTTGGTGTCAGGACATGCTGATGGCAGATCATTGATATACGTATAAAGAGAACAACAGTGGGCCCAGGACAGATCCTTGTAAGATGCCTGTGGACAAGTGGAGGGCAGTAGATTGATAGTTCTGTATTTGGACATACTGTGATCTATTTAGCAAATATGATTCAATCCATTTAAGTGTACCTGAGGAGAAATTGTAGCTGGACAACTTGGACAAAAGAATACGATGATTAACAGTGTCAAATGCCTTCTTGAGATCAAGAAATACAACTCCAACAACACCACCTTTGTCCAATAGAAATTAGATTTTTTTCTGCGAAAGTATTTCAGATGTCTGCTTCCCTTTTCAACAACTCGTTCTGTGACTGAGTTTCCCTCTATCTGTTCTGACCTTATGTGTCTCCCTGTCCAGGATGATGATTTGGAGACCGACCTGAGCAAACTTCGTCTTCGCCCTGACCCAGACAGACCCAAAGAGCTGCTGCCACAGTACAACCGCCTCTGTCCTGAACTCTCACATGACTTCCAGGTACAAACATGTGTGTGTGAAACACTTGTGCATCTGTCTTTGTGAGGACCTGATATTTCGACCTTCTGAGTGAGGACGTTTTTAGAAAGTGAGGACATTTTACCAGGCCTCACTTTGGGACAGACTCCATTATAAGGTTCAGGTTAGAGTAATGTTTCGATGGGGTTCGGCTTGGGGTCAGGCATTTAGTTGCGATGGTTAAGGTTTGGTTAAAGGATGCATTATGTGAATGAATCTCTTCACAACGACAGAAGCACAAGGTTGTGTGTGTACGTGTGTTTGACAGCCCAGTGATTTGCTTAGATGACGGCACATGATGTTAAATAAGTCACTTTTTTTGATGTACTAACAAATAATATTAATTTCAAGAAAATTAAAGTTATAGCATTGTACTCCTCTGCATGTCACTGTTTTTTGGAGAACACGTGAATCCGTTCTCGATGCATCAAATACACACAGCTTGGACCAAGCTGATCTCACAGAAATACATGAAAATAACCATGACGTCTTGTAACTGCGCAGTACGTGGTGGTGGCAAGTAATGTGTTCAAATTGTGTGTCTGCACCATGGCAGCAATGGCAATGGATAGTCAATCATGAATTATTGCCATGGCGGACACGCAAATTAAACGCATCTACGTGAATATTCCAAGCTCAGGGAAGAGTGGATGGGTCAGAAAAACTCAGGCGACTGGTGTTCGAGACCAGTGTTTGTGTCCCAGAGTCTAGAGTTCATGTGAAGTAACGTTTTGTGATGTGTTCACGTATTTTTTTAAGCCCAACCATGTTTTTCCTAACTAAGTGGTTTTGTTGCCTTAAAAGGGACAGTAACATTTAGTGGGGTTTATTGCCAGATATTGAATATAATATTCATAACTATGGTTTATTCAGTCTATAAAAATAAAAACTAAGAATCGTTATGTCTTCCTTAGCTTAGAAAAAGCTAAGGAATATCTACTAAGGGAGCGGGTCGTCTTCCATGGAGTGTTTCTCTAGCAGCCCAGAACGGACACTGGCTCTAGCGAGAGCCTTTTAGCGTTTTTATGTTAACTGAAGGTAGGGATACCTTCTCAAACCCGATATTAAACAGGCCCCGGCGAATCGCGAGCAGATATGCCGCTGTGGTGAAGTGAACCAGGTGAAGTGAAGGATACTCAAATTTACGGCCACTACGCTCGTCACTGTGCGTGCAAAAAAAAATAAAAAATAAAAATAAATAAAAAAGAGTTGCAAGTAAAAAGCAAATACATCCGTGTGTCGCGGGACATAAAGAGGACTCAAATGCAGACAGTCAGGTGAAGAGAAAAAGAGTTTAATAATAAACCAAAAACACACAAGGAATCCAAGGACAAGAATCGAAGGGGAAAATCCGGCTGGACAAGGCAGAACAGGCAGGCTGAAAAACCGGGAACAGGACGAGCAAAACGGGCGGGTAGGTAGAAAACAAACACAATGATCTGGCAGTGAGTGAGTGAAAGACAGGGGTTTAAATAGTGACTAGAACAGGTGAGGAGAGTTGTACTGATGAGGGAGGGTGTGACTGGCAGGTGCACTGAATGAACTAATTAGGGACAGGTGAAGGAAGTGAGGAGCTACAGAAAACTACACACAAAACACCCAAGGCAAAGCCTGATTGTTACACCGTGAACATGTAAACGAAAGTGAAACCTAATTCAGCCAGCCACCGGCGCAATGTTTACACGAGCACAGCAAAAGCTTTCTTTAGTAAACTTCTCTGCTGGCTGAGACAAAGCAGCCAGTTGAACAGAAGACAGGAGAACAGAGGGCAGGAGGACAGAGGACAGGAGGAATAACTGATACAGATGGATGTCTGTGTTCGTCATTCTTTATAAACGTCACTCAGAAATGTTATTTATTTTATTGACAGTTTTCATTGAGATATTAATTACTTCATATCGTGACTCTGCTGTTGTAAACATGACTGTTCTCGTCTGAATTAATTTGCTTTTAGAATATATATAGTATATATTTTAAAACAATTATTTAGTCATATAGAAGAACCGCATATTGACAAAAGTAGCACCAAGTTGTACTAGAATCCTCAAAATAGCTATCCCAATTTCTAGGCATAGTTCTCCGACACGCTTGGAAAGGGAGGGGCTGGGCTGAGGGGTATTTAGTTAATTGCAACCTGCCACAAACCACTAGATGCCTTTACACATTACATTCCACCACCGCATGATGCGCCGTTAGATCATTTCACCTATATTTCTGTGGGGTCACATTGTTTGGTCAGTACTCCTTTTGCTTCCGAAAAAAGGCACCCCTAAGCGTGTATAAGCAATACACCTGGCTTGCAAACAACTCCAATGTGAACACACCCGTATCCTGTTTCCACACTCAGAGAAACTGACTGAAGTATAAGGTGCGGGTCGGTCCACACAGAGCAATGTAGGTGTATGGGTCAAACCAAACACGAGATTCTTGTCCGGGAGACCTCCGTTGTTGTCTCGTGCAAAACTAGAAGTTTACGGTGACATTTTGTCACATCAGTTGTTAGTGACCTTAGCGACTCGTGATTTGCTCGTTGCGTTACTCGTTAGTAAGTCCAATTAACGTCAGCACCTTTCTTTTCCTAGACCTAACTAAGTGGTTTTGTTGCCCAAACCGAATTTCACATGAAGACGGATGTTTTCAGAATAGATCCATACTTCTGAGCAAAGTGCTTGAAAATGTGAAAAATGGAATAAGAGCTGAGGTGGGAGACAGAAGTGATGTATTTTTTATATTTTTTTTCAGAAAATTGACTTGGCACTCAAATTGTACTGTCATCAGCAGGTCAGCGCTCTGCGTCAGCCTGGCCCATGTTTGAGCTGTAACTCCCAGGGCAGACTGGAAAAAAGCTTCTTCCACCACAAGTTTATCCTTTAGAACAGAGGTAGCCAACACGGTGCCCGCGGGCACCCTGTCGTCCGCAGGGACCACATAAGTCGCCCGCAAGGCATGTTCTAAATATAGCACTAGTCACCATGGAGCTCTGTCTAAAATTGTAGTTGCTGTTCTTTTTTAATCAAAAACGCTTGCATTAGTGTAGATTTTAAAATGACAATATTTCTTGTCATCAGACAGTTGGGTACCCGGAGGTGCACGGCGGACAGCCAGGACGAGGCTGCCGCACCGCACTAGGTTTTCAGGTTCCGAATGGCAGGCGCATCCCGTTGGTGCCAGACGCGAGCCGCGAGCGCACCCCGTCGTCAGGTCCGTAAATCCTCGGAACAGGCCGCGGGGCAACAACTCAGGGGTGGCGGGGGTAGAGGCGAGGCAACACAATCCGACCGGCCCAGGCTAGAGGTTTGAACGCCTCGGTGGGTTGGATCCCCCGCTCGGCTATAGACTAGACTTTTTACTAGTTTCTTCGTGGAGAAAAAGGCAGCATTGGAAAAGCTGGTGTCGGTGATAACAGTCGGGGCTCCCGCGATGACGGGCCGGCATGCAGGCTTCATTGCGCAATGCAAAGGTGACCCAGACTTCGCAAAATGTCTACATTACCACTGCATCATTCACCAGCAGGCGCTATGTGCAAAAGTAACCGGCTTTGATCATGTGATGATACAAAAATATCAGAGATGTGATACCTCTGACTTTCAAATGTTGAAACAGATTAACAGAAGTTGCATGTTTAAATATGTATGTGTAGCAAAACCATCATTGTTGTGGAAATCATTATTAATAATTATTGTGAGGAATAATTAACTGACATGTAATCAAACAGTCTCTTTACATATATTATTATTATTAAGGTGATCTGTGCAACTTTGTTATTCAGGAAGTTTGTATCAAATAAGTAGCCCTTCATACTACTCGGTACCTTTGAAGTAGCTCTCAGTTTAAAAAAGGTTGGTGACCCCTGATGTAGAAGAACAGTCACTTTGGGAACCGTTCCAAATGAGTTTAATATAAATTTCCTCCTAATGGGTACATCTCAGTTAACTTAACTGTCACCTTGTTTCCTACACAAAAATGCAGATGTTTAGCCTAATTTAGCACAAAGATTGGAAGCAGGACAAACTGATGCATGCACCTTACACAGGCTTCAGACCAGATTATACAAATTAAGTTTATGTGAGGGGTAGAATCTGATTATGAAACATAATTTGTTTTAGGTTGTGTAATGTTATTTTTATATCCCTACATTAGAGGCATCATTATTTTTCTTCCATTCAATTACATTTATTTATTTAAATTAGGTCTTGAGGCACTTCTGTTTCAAAATAGATTAAAAAATTTAAAATAATATTAAAATATTAATAAATTAAATATATCAAAATGGTATGGATTAAAATCTGTGTTGAATCTTTCTGGTGTTTGATGGTAGTCAAGATGAAAGATGTCACTTCTGATTATAGCTTTCATGGCCAACATGTGATGAATCAATGCCAATGCAGGGGCCACAAATAGCCACAGCCATGTGTAATGGTCATGTGTAACGACAGCTGCACTGGTGTTGTTGGACAGATAAAACACAGACGGTCGGTCAAATTAATCTTCTTTTTCTTCTCCTCCGAGGTTGTGTTCAGTGACAGGTCTGAAGAGTGGTGGAGCAGAGGGAGATTATGCAAAGAGGTGATTGAGGAGTGAATCTCTAACTGTGGGGGTGGGGATCATGAGGGCTCATGCATATTGTACAATTTCACAATGATGGAGATTTATAAAACAGAACCGGTCATAAGCACACTAAAGCTTATGAAAGACAGTGTACGTACAGCATATGATTATGACAAAGACGTGTTGTTACTATCACGGTATTGTCACGGATGACGCCGCAAACGCACCGGAAATAAGAGTTGGTAAATGGTAGAAAGGAGCATAGAGGTCAGTTACGGTGGTTACTTATTTTTTTTTATACCTGCCCACCATGGAGGCTGACATGGTGCCCTTGAGTCAGAACAATTAGTAAGTTAAGCGGAGTGAGCAGCAATTATGCAGTGAGTTTGAGGACATTGCAACAAACAAACCCCTTGACATTATTCGTTGGCGCC